GATAACCGCAGGCCCAGAATAACATTCCGCTAACTATAATTCGTCAAACTCTGCAAATTTGCGAACAAATATGCTACGAGATATTCTGCCGGACAATGCAGAGAGAAACAACAAACTCAGATCTAATAACGCGCGGCGTTATGCACGACGGCATCGACCAGCCCAGTTGGCGTCGGTGGCACTGGAATTTCTCGGTAGAAGAGAAAGTAATCGGCATTGATGTTCAGATGATATGCAATACATCGGAAAGGTCACGAATTGATCGTTACACCGATTCTATATCATCACTTATAAGCTATATTTCCCAGCATACCCGAACCGCGATAACAAACAACTATTGACATCAAGTTTGTTTTCTCTCAGCACAATCCGCGCACCATCAGCAGCTTTTCACCACTCACCGGACACCAGCAGTGACCCCGATCCAGAGAACTCGATGGCATTGATGCAGCCGAAGTGTCCGCGCAGGTCACGGTTATACAGGTAGGAGGCCGACTCCAGACGCTGGTCCATCAGCCCTGTCAGGTGACTCCCGCCCAGGCCGAGAGCACGACGCTCCAGCATTGCCACTGGATTACCGGCCACCTGCATGGTGGACGCTGCAGGGGAAAAGGAGAGCTGTCAGACGACAAAATATACCCTCGAAGCAGAGTCAGAAATAACTATTTACCACCTATGAGCAACAGTACCTGTGATTAACAAGCCAGCGATTTTCTGTTTATCTGTGGTTCAATGGTAAAAACTCTGTAGTCTGTACTCGTATGAGTGGCCCAGCCCAAGCCCGTGACATATTTGACAACTTAATATCTTGGCTTGGCAACTGCTTGACTGCTTGCCAACTTTGAATGAATATTAATGATCAGTGTGGTACAGCCACACTTCAAATAAGTGGAGTCATTTCATTGTTTCCCACTGTTACAAAGTTACCTTACCTTACCTTACCTTACCAATACAGAATTTTGAGGCCTATAAGGCCTGTAGGGATCTGATCTCATCGAGTTCCTTACTAGAGACAGTCATGAATCTTGGACTGGGATGTCAAAGGATGCATCCCCCCAGTGAGAGTCGAGACGGGCTTTGAAGATATTGACAGACGTAGAGAGGACCACAGAGGCAGGAAGCGCATTCCAGTCGTTGATGGCGCGGACCGATAGAGTGTGTCTCCTGGGTCTTGAAGCAGCTTGAGGCTTCAGCAGCTTCAGAGCATGTCCTCTGGTGACAGATGAGACTGCCTGCTCGAAAAACTGGTCCGGCCGAATGTTGACTCCACCTGTCAAAATCTGGAAGATGGCGATTACGTCTCCTCTCCGTCTTCGGTGATACAGTGATGGGAGCTTGAGTCGCCGGAGGCGTTCCTGCTAGGGCAAGTGTCTTAGCTCACGGACCAGTTTGGTTGCTCTCCGCTGCACTCGTTCAATCAGCCTCTGATCAGCTCGGTTGAAGGGCCCCCAGATGAGGTTCCCATATTCTAGATGGGGTCGCACCAGCGTTTCGAAGAGAATCGGCAGGGTAGTCGCATCAATGCAAATGAACAATCTTTTTATCAGTGCGAGCATTTGGTTGCCCTTTGCAGCTGCAGACGCGGCCTGCTTACGAAACTTCAGGTCAGAATCCAGCTGAACCCCCAGGTCCTTCTCTACTTCAACCGTATTCAGCTGGAGACCATTCATGGTGTATGAGTGCCCAGGATTCCTAGGGCCGAGATGAAGGACCTTGCACTTTGATTCATTAAACGGCAGTTGCCACTTCTCCGACCACTTGGCCACTTCTTCAATGTCTCGCTGGATTGAGCTTGTTCCAGTGGACGATGGTGTTCCGAAGATTTTGGTATCATCTGCAAAGACCTTGATGGAGCTCTGCACGGATTCGGGTAAGTCATTGATAAATATGATGAACAGCATTGGCCCGAGGACTGACCCTTGAGGAACCCCACTGGTCACAGGCACCCAAGGCGAGCAGTGTCCTCTGATCACCACCTGTTGACGCCGGTCCGATAGGAAGGAGGCAATCCAGCCCTTTAACCTTCCTGTGATACCGTATCCCTCGAGTTTATTCAGGAGTCTCAGGTGTGGCACAGAGTCAAAAGCCTTTCTGAAGTCGAGATACACCGCATCAACTGGTTCGCCATTTTCTATGCACTTGGTCCACTCATCCAGGACTTCAAGAAGCTGGGTCATGCAGGATCGCTGTGGTCTGAAGCCGTGCTGGTGGTTCGATAGGAGGTTGGCTTCTTCCAGGTGAGTCATGAGATGATCTCGGATCAGGGATTCAAGTACCTACCTTGCAAGGAATTGCAGTCAAGCTCACTGGGCGATAATTGCCTGGGTCCAGCCTGTCCCCCTTCTTCAGAATAGGTACTGCGGTGCCAAGCTTCCAGTCGTCTGGAAGACAGCCAGACTGAATGGACTTGTTGTAGATGATGGAAAGTGGGACCGCCAGCTGAGCAGCCACCTCGATCAAGACCCTAGGGTGGATTCTGTCTGGCCCTGGGGAGCTAGAGCTCTTGAGTCGCCCTTTGAAAAGTTGTTCCCTTTTCAAAAGTTTTAAAGAGGCTTATACCTTGGCAGGTGCTAGTCTACACCAATTACCGAGTAACTAGTAATTTTTTGTGGGATAGCCTCATTGCTTTTATTGAGCATCAGACTACGCTTATCATATGGGGTGATCATAACTATGCATTTGCAAAATAAAGGTGTAATCAGGGGGTGTCACTACTTTGTTTCACCATAGGTCCAGTACTGATGTCATTGGTTTCGATCCTGGTGACATCAGTGCTGTGTACATCTGGGAACTTCCTGCATTTGTTTCTCATTAGAGGTGGCCATATTGCTTTGTCCTGTGACCAGGCATCAGTAAAATCCTTTTTGAAAGGATTGCATTCCCAATCCACATTCCTAGTGCCGAAGTGGATTGCATTCCTACCCGCAATCCCCTTTTTTCACTTGGATTGTGATCAAATCCGCAATCCTTTTTTGCAATCCTGTTGTATTATTATGTGCACTAGTGGATCTGGGGGAGGGAGGGGGGCATAGGGCCGCGGTGCCTCCATCCCCAAATCACCCATTTCTAGTACCTAGTCTTGCGAGTAATTCCTATCTAAGGCACAGGTATTTTATGGGAAATATTTTTTGCCTCAAACACCCCCACATTTAAACCTCTACCCAACCAGTGTTTTATATTTTTAAAACTCGCCCTCAAATACGTAATTTTGCCCTTCCTATGTAGTTCATCAGCGTATATTATTTTGATTATTTCATGTTTCAATGTAAAGCCCTTGATAGCAAAGTACATTAAGCCTATGAAGCCGATCTCATAATTTTCAATCGCAACAAACCATTTCAAAGCACTAACCAAACACAAACGGATTGGATTGCAAAAATTGGAAGCATGATGCAATCCAATCCGCAATCAAATCCTGTTTTTTGGAATGGATTTCAAATCCAGGTGCAATCCACCAAAAAGGAATGCAATCAGGATTTGCAATCCTGCAATCACAATCCTACCGATGCCTGCCTGTGACGACACATTTGTGTCATCGGGATCAAAATTCAAAACTAGCTGTAAACAAACTGCTCACTGCTCAGTGTCGCTACCTCCTATATATGGCCTTGGGTGTAATGTTTGAGCCCATCACATTAAAGGGACTATCCCACCTTTACATTAGGTTTGAGTTGAGATAGCCAAGTTTTCGGCGAGGTTCAGAAACCACTATCTATCTAGGTTGCAACCCCCGCGGCCTCGTGGTGTTGAAGAAATTCGTTCCCTTCATTTGAAAATGGGCCTTGTACAAGGCCCAATCTCTTAACCATTAACGGCATTCTGATGACGTCATTTGCCCTTTGAACGCCTCTTACGCATTCGAGTAGAGTATCACTTGATTTACGAATAAGCTGGCGTTGGCTGACTCGGCGCCCCGGCGGCACCCAGCGGCGGCCTCTGCGATAATAATTGGGTTTGGACTTGGGTTTGGATAAATTTACCGTTTGTTTTATTTTTTCAATTTGTTTCCATTTCCGGAAATGGAAACAAGTTGAAGATTTGCTTGTCTAAGGCAGCAAGATTTATAAACATCGCCAAATTTATCATATGCAATTGGAGCTTGTTTCAGTTTTTATAGCAGGGTCAAGAATATGATACAATTTTCTTTCAATGGTAGATTCGTCATGGTACAGTACAATTTCAATGGTTATTTCGAATAATTTATGTCATTGAATTGAAACTGCAAGTACATCCCACAAAAGAGCTTATCCTCTTCAAGTTTCAGTCTTGATCCGACTGATTTGTCAAGAGTGCGAAAAGTGAGGCGACAAAAGAGAGCTACAGGTTTTTCAAGATCAAGATTTAAGTGTTCTTGAATAGCAGGTTATACAACATTGTGCTGTGACATAACCACTGGGCCTTGTGCCCCCTGTGACAGAGCCCCTGCATCAGCTGGTCTGACACGGCTGGGCTCGCAAGTCGCAAAGAACGTCTTGGTGCTCTTAATTATGATTGATGCTTGTGCTGTAAAAGAAGGGTACCTACATGGCAAAATACATTTGTATGTAATTTCTTGCCACAGCACCCACCTACATGTACATTTTTGTTGTCTTTGTGTGAAAAATGAATATATTTTAAGGAAATTAAGGCATTTCTGTTTAAAGCATGCAGAAATTCATGTGTGATGCTGTCCCGGTAACTCATGTGGAACAGAACAGGCTGCAGACTCAGATCGTGCTTGAACAGAGACAATCATCAGTTATCTACATATGCACATGCTTTGTAAGTTCCCTGCCTTTTCCCAGATTCTACTTGCTAGTTGTGAAAAGGATCGGACAAGGCAAGGTACTCATGCTCATGGTGCCACCATATGCAATTACTGACAGGTGAATTCGGTGACTAAAATCCTTAACGCTCAATGGATAATTATTCTGCTCTTATGTTCAGTATGTTGATATCAGAAACTCACCGAGGTAACCTGCCCTGTGGCATTTCTTAGTTCAAAAATGTAAGCATTACACTCATCAGTCATGTAACTTGTATTTACATCCATGAACAAACAATGTGCAAAGGAGCTACCCAACCAGGTACAAGCAGTAGTGTCTACAGCGTAGCGCGTACCGCCTCCGCAAGGGGCGCGCCCCTCTACAATGGGCATGCGCGAACCCCTTCTCTGCAATGGGCGCGCCGGCGAACGTACGCGAGCGATCACGGGTCGCCACCACCAGCTGGCGAGTGACGGCGCAAGGCCATAAAACTACGACGGCGGGCCCGGCAGCAGCCGGCGCTCGGCAGGCGCTACAGCGCGCGTTGTGGGGGGGGGGGGGGGAGGCGTTGGGCGCGGGATGGGCGCACAGTCGCGCACCAGGACCGACGGCGACATCACCTGCTGCGTCTGGCTCGGCAAGCGCAGCTGGGAGCCGGCTGGAACAGACAGAGCGGCGTCACCCGGCGGAGAGACACGCGGGGGACGAGATAGACAGACACACGGGCCGACAAACTGGGAGAGATTCGAACGCCCGCACGGCAGCAGGGCAGGGAGCAAACATGCCCGCTATATTCACGTGTCGATTTTCATGACGTCAGTCTTGAGCACAAGCTGACTTCATCCCTACATCCCGTTTTACTTAAAATCATAATTGAGGTCCTGGATCGGTACACCGGCTCAGTCACCTGTTGACGGCGGCGCACAGCGTGACCTACCCGCCCTTCAGCCGGCCCCAGCAGGGTGAGTAGTGAGTACTAATACCCGCCCCCATGCCAATGCCAAAATCACTAGCACTGAGAGTTTTATGGAAAAGCCCTCCTCAGCGGCCGGTATGAGCTGGCCGTGCGGCGGCCGCGACTGACCTGCGGCCGCTGAAGATCTGGTGAGTCGGACGGGCACCTCCGGCACTGTCGGCAGGGCGGCCGATTTGAGCGCAGCGCTGTCCAGTCGGACTGACGGCAGCACAGAGACCAGCTGTCCGTGCAGGCAGTACCGGTGGCCCGAGTCGCTACTGCTGCGGACCCGGCCCGGTACCGGCGCCGGGTGGTGGCCGGCCGCGGCGGGGAGCGGGTCCGCCGTCCGCTCCGCGTCCCCGGCCGCCCCGCCGCCGCTCTCTGGACCGGCCGGAACGGTGACGGTGACCGCGCTGATCTGAAGGCACACCTCCAGACGCTCCAGGGCCGGCAGCCAGGCCAAAGTCGGAGCGGCGGGCGGCGCCGGCGGAGTGGGGGAGACGGCCGCCGCAGCGGGGGTGTTGGGTGACACTGCAGGTAGGACGCCGCCGCCCGGTCCTCCGCTGGCGGCGGCGGCGGCGGCGGCGGCGGCGGCTGGGGCAGTGGCGGCGGCGCCGGGCCACTCAGCTGCTGGCCAGCTGAGTGGCCAGGGACAGCCAGAGCGGTCGCGGCCGAGACCAGCACCGCCTGGTCAGCCGTCACCTGTAGGGCGCACGGGGAAAAGGGATACAGTCAGGAGCCGCGGCCGTAGTTATTCATTTCCAATCGACAATAGGGCATTGGAGCAGTGTTCCCGCCACTTCTAATGAGTAGTTATGTCGAGCCTACCACAGTGTACTTCACAACTAGAAAACGCACTCAACAATAATCACACAACAACGGCACACTCTCAGGGCCATTCTAACAAAACACCCGCGGTTATAATTAGCATTACTCGGTATAATGACTGACCGTGCATCGTGTGTGGACGTGGCAGTTGTAGAGCAGCGCAGCGGTCGGCCGGCGCCGCTCAAGCTGGGAGACACACCGGCACAGCCGGGACGGGTACATGGGCTGCTGCTCGTTCCACTGGATCGTCTGACAGCGCAGCTGGAGACGCACCTCACCGGCCTGAGGACGGGGGAACCGGGACAGATAAACAATACACCAGCAATGCTGGGAGACGCACCTCACCGGCCTGGGGACGGGGGAAGACTGGGTGATACAACCGGGACAGACAAATAACACAGCTGCTGTAGACGTATATACCTCCCCGGCCTGGTGACCGCGCGCGGGTGATGCGACCTCATAGATCAACAGCGATCAGCCGGATCATCGGAGCAAAAAAGCACGCATCTCAGGAGCCCATCTCCTTGCAAGTCTGCGATCATATCTCAACGCCTAACTGCAGCAGCTCTTCAAACAATGCAGCTGATGCTGCCTTTTCGAACATCCCCGCTATGCACGGACCCACGCCGCCCAGCTCCCCGTTGGCGGCCACCACTGTCAGCCGCCGCCCCTTCCTCCGCTGCGCGGAGACCCACCTTTTCCAAGTCTCCATGGCCAGCCACCACGGTGACTCGCGGCTCCAGCACCGTCAGCTACAGGCCGCGAGCCGGGGTGTTGGCCTCCAGCGCCGCCGCCTCTCCGTGCGGCACTGGGCCCGGGCGGGCCTCTCCGTCCGCTGCGGGAGAGGGCAGAGGGTAGAGGAGAAGGTCAGAGCGGGCCTCCCCGCCTGCAGCAAAACAGGGGGAAGGAGCGGTCAGGTGGGTCTCCCCGTCCGCTGCAGGAGAGGGCAGAGGGGCGTTAGTGATAGTGGGCAGATGAAACGGAATGTTTATTTCAAAGATATACGCTTTTTCACTAGTACGGCAACTACACTTCTCAGAGGTGAAAATCGCTGATATAATTGGGACGCACTGCCGAAAAAGAAGGAACTTGCAAGTCACAAGCAGCGATGGGGACGACTCATGAAGAACAGTGCATCATGTTAAACAACTTCAAGCTAACTCTGAGCGCTACTCAGTACACACTACTCACCCTGCTGGGGCCGGCTGCAGGGCGGGTATTGGTACTCACTTCTCACCCTGCTGGGCCGGCTGTAGGGCGGGTAGGTGACGCTGTGCGCCGCCGTCAACAGGTGACTGAGCTGTCAGAAAGTCACACGTCAATAAACGAGTCCTTTCTACACGCTGCGTCTAAATCACTCTATTGGACGTTACAAAAACACGCCAGGATTCTACGATCCTTGTCCAGTTTCTGCAGCAGCAGCGCGAGTCACTGGCAGCGCTGTTGCTGCCAGACGACGGCCGTCGGCGCCCGGCGCACGCGCGCCGCGCACCGGTCGGCGTGTCAGCTGGTAGCGGCTGTGCGCTGCCAACGCCGGCGCAGCAGCTGGCAGAACACGACAACCTGGCGGGACGCATGGCCGGGTCAGAGGGGGAGTGGGAGCCGACAGGGTCAGCCACATCACAGTGGATGCCTACCTCACCCCACACTGACAAAGTGCCACCATGCCAGGAAAATGTTTCACCTCAGAACAGCATGAACCTAGAAAGAAAACAGGATTGCATAGCTCCTGTATAGAATAGTCATAGACATAAAGCATAGACTCAAATTATTGAGCCATAGCCAAGATTTTACTGAGGGAGGGGCCACAGATCGCGGCCTAGTGTCGTACCCCCTCCAAAAAGGAAAACTCGGATTTGGCCCACTATTTTTGGGGGTATGGTACAGCTGTTTTTATTTATCTTCATTTTATTTTATTTAATTTCTCGCCTTTGGGGTAGACCATGACAGCCGTGGCCACTCCCTTGGCTACATCCCTAGATTGAACGAAGAAGCAAATTGAAGAAGCAGCTTTGACCATAGGCGCAAACATAATATGGAACAGACTACATTTTTATGCAGTATGTTATGAAGTCAACATTGCATGCTTTATATAGGCAATCTAATCTTCACCAATCCATTTTGTTAAGCACTTATCTACTTTTCTAGTTTCAATTGATTGGTCAATGCTCGTATACATAATTATCAGCATTCAAATATATGATGCTGAGACATGTTCAATCTCTGACCAACTCCCTGTATACAAAAGAAATAATTGTAGCATTATGCATAGGGTCATAACTTACTGATCACTTTCTGTCAACAGCCTGCAAGCAGCATTGCGATCTTCCCTCCGCAGTGACGGAGACCTCTGTCATGTGCGCATGGTGTGTTGTGTTGTGTTGGCATTCAAGAAATTTCAACAGCTAAGAAGGAAAAACAAAACATTTCTTTAAATACCTGCATGTTTGCTATAATAGCAAGCTAGGATGCAATGAGTATAAAAGTATACAAAAATCCCAATCAATAGGTTCAGAATGGAATAGGTTGTGAGGTGTTAGGTACTGTAGTAGGCTGGTTGAAAGGTTTGTATGTTGTAGACATCTGGCATGGGGGTTTTAGGTTGGTATTAAGGGTATTACAAACTTTTTAGGTAAGGTTAGGTCAGGAATGTTGGTTATTTTCATTCAAATTTCACACTTGTTCACTTTAATTGTATTCCAAATTGACACAAATTTTTAAAAGTTATGGTGAAAATATGTTCCTTTCCTATGTGAATTGTGATGTTAGTATTTGAATTTTATATGCAGGAAGTCAAACATACTTACATTGACTATCATACCACCAACTACAAAATGCCCAATCAGAGACACTTTTGTTATTGTATGAGCCGCGTCATATTTGAAAGCAAATATATTTGCTGCCAAATTTCCCCCTTCATTGGCATGAAGTAAATCCTTCATTACGTCACAGATCCGATCTAAATGACGTCACGATGAAATATAAAAGTCGCAATATTTCAAAAAGTATACAATGAAAACGCGTAAAAACTTGCAGAATTCGTCACAGTGCCCTAAGTAACATTTCCGAATCCTAAACGGGATTTTTTCGAAGGTGGGATAGTCCCTTTAACACGGCACTTGCTGGGCCGACTCGCCTGAAACAATGCAAGAACAGCAAGGTAACTTGTGCAATTATTTGCTTGTAGTTTTAAGATTTCATGCTTGTAATTATTTTTCAGAAGTAAGTAAGCATATGAGCATTTTTCGTAACCGGACAAATCTTCGTATGGCATTTCTTCGTCGCGCAATATTTCGTCCGCATTTCTTCGTCCGCAAATCTTCGTCGGCGCATTTATTCGTGTCGCATTACTTCGTCTCGCATTTCTTCGTAGGTGCAAAAATTCGTAGCGCATTTCTTCGTATCCGCATTTCTTCGTCGGCGCATTTCTTCGTCAAGCATTTTTTCGTCCACGCATTTCTTCGTCTACGCAAATCTTCGTCCGCATTTCTTCGTCCACGCAAATCTTCGTCTGCGCAAATCTTCGTCCGCAAATCTTCGTCCCCGCAAATCTTCGTCCGCAAATCTTCGTCCGCATTTTTTCGTCCACGCATTTCTTCGTCTACGCAAATCTTCGTCCGCATTTCTTCGTCCCCGCAAATCTTCGTCCGCAAATCTTCGTCCGCAAATCTTCGTCCGCAAATTTTCGTCCGCAAATTTTCGTCCGCATTTTTCGTCCACGCATTTCTTCGTCCAATCAAATCTTCGTCCGCAAATCTTTGCGCTATCTTCGTCTCCGCAAACACTCGTCCACAAATGTGGTTCAATTAAACCATGAAGAAATATCAGACAGTCAAGTGAATGACGAATTTGATGCATGGAATGGATGATCGAAACTTTTGAAGTCAGGTAGATGAGGTCAGTCAGGTGAAGCTATTGTATTTGGAGCCGACAATTGTAACATTCCATATCATTTGTGTCCCGGACATTCTTTTTTCGCGGTCATTGAATGACAATATAATCTCTTGTACCCTCGCCGGCATAGGTGGCGGAACGGGGAGGGCACGGGGGCACCGTTCCCCTCTTTAATTTTGGCCCTATGGGCGCTGCATGGAAAGCATATTGGACCAAAAGTCGGCAGTGCCGTGCCCCCCCCCCCCCCTTAATTGAAGATGTTCCGCCGCTACTGCCCGCCGGACCTATTTGTATTCTACGGTACACGCCGGCCGAGGGGGCGGGTACGACCCCCCCCCCCCCCCCCATCGCCGTTTCGCCACTGGTGGAGCTAGCGCGTCGCGGAAAAAGCGAGCGTGTGCGCCGTTACGAGCCGCAGAGATTAATACCCGATTTTAAGGCCTTCTAGGTCAGGGGTCGGCATACGGCCCGCGGGCCGGATCCGGCCAGGTGGGTGTTGGATCCGGCCCGCGACCATCTGACGTCCGGCCCGCGGCTGCATATCAGCGACTTACATCGTGTTCCGGCCCGCCCCCCCCCCCCCCACACACACACACGCCGCCTGGAAGATTAAGCGAGTAGATCACGTGAAGCCGCCAAGTGCACGCAGCTGCAGCAGTCGTTGATGCTGCGCGCAAAAGCTGCTGACCAAATCTTACCGTTGCAAGTTTTGTCTAGAAGTAGAATTAGACAAAAACACCCGCAAATGGTGTTTATAAACTCATGAAGTGTGCGAAGGAAGAACTGTTGTGCCAAAGCACATTTGAGTCACTTTTATATCGGAGTCGATTTATGAAGGAACCGCGGGCCGGAACACGATGTAAGTCGCTGATACCAGCCGCGGGCCGGACGTCAGCTGGTCGCGGGCCGGATCCAACCGTCACCCTGACCCACCTGGCCGGATCCGGCCCGCGGGCCGTATGCCGACCCCTGACCTAGAAGGCCTTAAAATCGGGTATTAACACGCGCACTGCAGGGGGGGGGGTTGTTTTCAACCCCCCCCCCCTGTGGTTTTTCGCAAATTGCGAGAAAACGGCGGCGCGTAGCGCCGCCAAATTTTGCATACCTGTTCTCACAACTTTTGCACACCTTGAGTAAAAATTTTGACCCCAGGTGACCTATGGTCAGGTCACCAGGTCAGGTCAAGTGACCCTACCTCGAAACGTAAATTTCGAAGTTTGCAATCCCACCAAGCCCACAGTTGTTGAGATATGATCTTGAAACCCACAGGAAATAGTAAAGTCATCACGAGCTACAACTTGCATATCTCGGAATTTTTATATCGATGACCTAAGGTCAGGTCATTTTTGCGACCGGCCCATTATAAGTCAATGGGAGAAATTTCAACTTACTCTGAATGCCATCCTATGACTTCAATACGCTCAGGATCATAGTATTACAGGTCCCTGTTGGTGATTTCACCGAAACATATCACTTATGACCTTTGGAAGGTGATCTCCAGGTCATCTTAGGTCACCTGAGGTCACCAGCGGTTTTTCTTCAATAACTTGAGATTGAGTAGAGATAGAGACTCCGTTCGACGTTTATCGTGTTTTTCTCGTCAATGCGGATCGAATGATATGCAACATGACCTATTTCGGTCAGGTCATGACCTTGACCTGAGGTCAAATTTTCAACTTGACCTTTCGAGGTCATATTATATATCATTCGATGCGCCTTGACGAGCTAAGAACGATGGCGTTCGAATCGATCCTCTGTCTTGTGTGCAAGACAAGTTATTCAAGAAAAACTACCGCGAAATTCCTGTTGTGAAAATCGTAACATTTTGTCTTCGGTGACCTCTGGTGACCTCGTTTTTGACCTGACCCAAAAATGATCTTAGTATTTCTTGTCGATCTCATCTTAACCTATCCAACGCCGTTTACCGCTTGTCGCTACGTTTCGCCGTTTTCGAGATCTCAGGGGGGGTTGTTTTCAACCCCCCCCCCCCCTGCAGTTCGTGTTCGGCTCAGACCCGCTGCAGTGCGCGTGTTAATCTCTGCGGCTCGTAACGGCGCACACGCTCACTTTTTTCCGCGACGCGCTAGCTCCACCAGTGGCGAAACGGCGATAGGGGGGGGGGGGGGGTCGTACCCGCCCCCTCGGCCGGCGTGTACCGTAGAATACAAATAGGTCCGGCGGGCAGTAGCGGCGGAACATCTTCAATTAAGGGGGGGGGGGGGCACGGCACTGCCGACTGTTGGTCCAATATGCTTTCCATGCAGCGCCCATAGGGCCAAAATTAAATAGGGGAACGGTGCCCCCGTGCCCTCCCCGTTCCGCCGCCTATGCCGGCGAGGGTACAAGAGATTATATTGTCATTCAACGACCGCAAAAAAAGAATGTCCGGGACACAACACAAATGAGGAATGTTACGATTGTCGGCTCCCAAATACAATAGCTTCACCTGACTGACCTCATCTACCTGTCTTCAAAAGTTTCGATCATCCATTCCTTGCATTAAATTCGTCATTCACTTGACTGTCTGATATTTCTTCATGGTTTTATTGAACCAAATTTGTGGACGAATGTTTGCGGAGACGAAGAAAGCGCAGACAAAGGTTTGCGGACGAAGATATGCGGACGAAGATTTGGTTGGACGAAGAAATGCGTGGACGAAAAATGCGGACGAAAATTTGCGGACGAAGATTTGCGGACGAAGATTTGCGGACGAAGATTTGCGGACGAAGATTTGCGGGGACGAAGATTTGCGTGGACGAAGAAATGCGGACGAAGATTTGCGTAGACGAAGAAATGCGTGGACGAAAAAATGCGGACGAAGATTTGCGGACGAAGATTTGCGGGGACGAAGATTTGCGGACGAAGATTTGCGCAGACGAAGATTTGCGTGGACGAAGAAATGCGGACGAAGATTTGCGTAGACGAAGAAATGCGTGGACGAAAAAATGCTTGACGAAGAAATGCGCCGACGAAGAAATGCGGATACGAAGAAATGCGCTACGAATTTTTGCACCTACGAAGAAATGCGAGACGAAGTAATGCGACACGAATAAATGCGCCGACGAAGATTTGCGGACGAAGAAATGCGGACGAAGAATTGCGCGACGAAGAAATGCCATACGAAGATTTGTCCTAGAATCGCATTTTTCTATGTTGTGGTACCTTTTTTGACAATATGGTGTGGTTCTCATTCATTTTGAAGCCCAGGGTGCAAGAGGCGATTTTCACAAAAATAAGGAGCATCAAGCCGATCAAGTCATTTCGGCCAATCGACTCAACATTTTCACATTAAAAATGTATAGAGTCCCACCTTATTGCACACACTTGGAAAGAGATTTGAGGTTGAAATATCTAGGAAACACTTTCAAATATTTACAGTGCAACCTTTGTGCAACCCGTGCAACCCTTGGTGCAACCCAGCTGATCAATGTTGATCCTTGTACTTCCGTTTACTTCCTGCTCAAAAACCCTGCGAATGTCCCGGTCTAGGACACCTATTGGTGCTTTTTGGCTTGCGCACACAGAATATCGAAAAATGTTGCCTTGCGAACAGAAAGCTTACGATGTTTCCGTACATTTAGGAGTCAGAAACGTCTGAGAAATATGTAATTTTGATGACGTCTTCGGCTTTGTGATTCAGATTCAAACTAGTTAGCGTTCCTAGCTATTTTTGTAAGTTTAAATCAATTTCTCAACAAATTTGAAAGAAATCTTTTTTGTGTCTAATTCGGTCAATATTTGAAATTCATACACCAACAATTTTATTTTCAAAGTTCTGAGCAAGAAGTATATTTTGCTATTACTAGTGACGCAATTTAAAATGTTGTTTAGGAACTAATCATGAGATGATAATTCCCACATAATTCCAAGGATTCCTAAGTTCGCGGATTCCTAGCAAGATTCCTAGATGACCATTGAGATGATCGATAGATGGACTGTGTTCCGCGATCTTTCAATTATTCGATTTTTATCAAATAAGAGATTTGCATGCTGAAAGGGGTTTTGGTTTAGTGTCTGATAACACAAATTTGCTGGATTCATGGTATTTTATTTCATGCCTGGAACATTGCCTCAAGCAAATCCGTGCCTTTCAAGACGGATTTCGCATTTCAGCTTTGAAGGTGGGTTACTCATCAGCTTGCACACTGACAAGGCTGAGGCTGGGAAAAATTAGGAAAATTGAGCTTGTACCCACTGCTCATTGCATTGCAATTGCAAGACAAGGTTGCAGGACAAATTTTTGTTGGCACAACTCGGTGTTCGTAATACTTTTTCCACATTAGGTCAAAATAATGTCTTAAGAGTACAGAATGTAAGGTAAGGTCAGGTACTGCTAATGCAAGGTTGCAATTGCTTGGAGAAGTCTGACAGCCAATCCCATATGGTGTAGTGAAAGCACACATCTTGTGGCTGCATCCAGCTAGGGGCTGAAGCAGGACAGGTGGTTAATGTTGATATGGCTCTTGACTAGTATGGTTACAGTTGGTGCTTGGTGGCAGGCTTTAGCTGGACAAAGTTGGGAACTGGCTGTATGTGGCTGTCAGAGGGTTGTCATTTCATCCTCAACTCAACCCTCAGTCCCCAGTTGACAAATCTCACGTGTCAGAGCCCAGAGAAAGAGGTTTGTTTGACATCCAGTTGGCCGGATTTCAGGGCAAGTCTAGTCATAACTCGCCAGTTCTAGGGCATGTCAGCATGCCAATCTGCCTCATATCTCAGCCTGCAATTAATTCCTTCATCCCAGCCAATCCCAGCCCACCAGTTCCTTGTCCATCCATCTCTCACCCCATCCTGTTAGTCCCTCATCCACCTGTCCCTTGTCCTTGCCTGACAAATACCTGGGCTGACAGCTCTGCATTCTGTAAATGTTGTTCTGGGGGCAACACATATACATCAGTAAGACATTTCTGATGACATTTCTGACATCACAAATGACTGTCTTACATCAGTAAGACAGTCATTTGTTATGTGGGCAGTGGGACTCCGATGTACAAATGCAGATCAGTATCTAATAGGTGTATTTGCAACAATCAACATACAATATCATGGTTGCTTTTTTACAATATCACCAATAGCATGTCATGTAGGTACACTGTCAAATAAATAAAACTTAGTTACAAGCATCAGTCATTTCACTTTCTAGCAGCATTTTGATTTTCACCCTTTGGTTCCTAATTTTCCAACACCAAGTGAGGCAACTGAGCAGCCTCTTTTGAAACTTCAGTGTCTTTATACCCTTGGTGGAGGCAGGGTGTTGGGTGGTGCTGACTTTTGGCTGCTGCTGCGCACTGGTGCGGCCACACTCGTTCGTCACAATGTATACATTCAGTATCCAGTCATAGCAACATTTACACTACCGCTCTTTATGCCTCAGTTTAGGAAATTCGTCGTTTTTCCGAACATTTCCCGCATTTTCAGGTGGCACTACCACTGCGTTGTCCGCAAATGTCTGGGACGAGCGTTTTCCAGCCACTTCACCTCCCGGCGACTGTGGCGACGGTGTACGTTCTCTGTGTCCTGCACGGGTTCTGTCGGAAGTACAGCTTGAATCCGCGCCCGACGGTCGACTCGTTGGTGACGAACTTGACCGTGAACTGACCTCCAGTGGCGTCTGTGGGAGCGAGAGGGGTTGGTCAGACGGGAGCAGCTGCAGGGACTGAGGACTCTGTGGTAGCTCTCACGTTTGCGTATTGTGACACGTCAGTTTGCATTCCAATTAGTTTGTTGTGACCGTTGGAATAGTAAGTGGCATCTGGTCATTAGGCGCTAGTTGTCTGAGGTAGATGATCTTGATATCAAGCAAATGATTCGTGATTTATCATGGAGGTTTCCTGACTTCTTGTAATTGAACATGGACTTCCATACTCGGAAACGGAATGCATTGAAACATCTCGATGACCGGCGAAAAAAGCAATTTGTTTAGGTACTGGTGCCGAAAACCCCAACTGAGGTCATCAGGCCGACAATAGTTGTGGGCGCTGGAACACTAATGGGGCTCGCCGGCTCATCATAATTCATCTGCAGTTTTCCACCTGCCTTGTCCGCCCGCCCGGTGTGTGAGTGTGACGTCACAGTGTTCTGGGGCTCACCGGTGACGTCAGCGTTCTGCGTCAGCTGGCTGTTGACGGTGCCGTCGTTGAGTCTGTCTCCACACAGCCGGTCAGCGCTGAGCAGCAGGTAGTCGTCGGGACACTGGACCGGCCCCACGCCCGCCTGGCCGGGAGGCACGGTCGATCGCACCACAGTCACACCTGCGCGCAGAAAAATCACCGACTGGTAATGACATATCAGACGTGGCTTGGGGATATCACGCTAGGAGGCGAGCTTTCCCATTCTGTGGCTGCCCTTTGAATCCATGCCTTTGCGTTTTTGCATCCCTGCCCGTGCCTCTGAGGCTTATTCACACACTCTTGGATCCATTTACTCTATTTGTCCACAACGTATGGTTCTGCGGCTCGAGAGAAGAGTGGGTGAAATACTTACCGTTTATCACAGAGATTCTGACGTTGAAGATTTCGAACCGTTCTGCGTTGCTGAACTGATCGAACCGATCGACGCCATAGGTGATGCTGCAGAATCCAGACTCTTTCCGTATGCAGATCATGTAGTTGAGCTGATTCTGCAAAAGAGAAATGACACATTCTTGTGTCAGGCTTTTCTCTTCTTATTACGTAGGAGGCACAAGTGAAACACGATGCAATCGTGCTCTGCGCCATGTGCATTATGCGAAAAAGTGAAGTAAAAATGAAGTTATTACTTTGTCATCGAATCTTGTCTCTGCATCTTCACAGCGAGACGGGCTGTTTAAGAACCGCGGTCACTGTCCCGCAGACCAGCCGGCCGTCTCCCCACTCCGCTGCGGCTGTGGCCGTGCTCACCAGATACCCGCTGTCGTCGCCCACGGCCGGGTAGTTGAAGCTCTCGATGCTCCCCAGCTGGCCGGTGTGGTACTGCAGACAGTTGGGTGGCGCGGCGCCCTCCGAGCGACGGGTCAGCTGCGTGACACGGATACGCCACCGGCGCTCCGAGCCGCCCGCTCCGGTCACCACGCGCAGCTGCAGCGGGCCGCTCTGCTCACCCACCTCCACAAACACTGCGGGCAAAGGAGAAATACGAGTACAGTGATCGGTGGGACTCTACACAGGAACTCTGGACTAGACAGGACTAATACTTGCCACTCAGCGACTGTTTGCATAATTAGACGGACGTTCAACTATGTACCTACTGTGAAATTGGCACTTGATTTTCCATAATGTGGCAGTCGTAGGAATGCATGTTTACAATGACATTCGGTGCAGTTTCTTTTGAGAGGCAACACTGTCTCGTCTCGGCGTATCATGAACTGAACTCAATCGCTGGTGATTCGTAATTGAGCTTGAGTGTTTTTACCGACTGACATAGTTTCCCTCTGAGGCTAACGGTTTCCCAGCAGGGCGGTGATTGAGTTCCGCTGTTAGGGGACAGGAGCCGTATTGGCTCTGTGGTGGGACGTAGCGACTGGCGAGGGACCCGGGGGGAGGGGAAGTGCCGGGGGGCTGAGTGCCGTGGTGACGACCGACACCGCCCGGCACTGACCGTGCTGTCCGGTGTTCTGGCCGCACAGGGTCGGCACCGGCGCGTTGGTGTTCTGTCCGCTGACACTGAACGTGTCCGTGTTACAGGAGCCCTCCGTCGGACCCGCCAGCTGTCGGGAGAAGGCACACCGGTGATCAGATCAGAATCAGAGCAATAGCGCTGCACTGGTGAGCAGAATCCAGAATCAACCACATTGGCGGACAGGTGACGGCTGGAACGGCTGTAACTGAGGTAAGTCGGACATTTACCTCGTAGCTGAGTGAGTAGCGAACACTTTGAAATGCGTGAAAGAGTCGCAATGTTAACATGATTACCTGCGTAAGATTGCCAACTGCTGATGGGTTTAAGTCAGGATTTGTTACCTGCAATGGAGATTGCGCTGCTATTATGATAGCAAATATGAGACATATCGTCATTTTTGGTACCGATCATCTTTTTTTACGAACGCTTCACGAACTCACAACACACGAACACACTGAACGCAACAACGTCTTAATCATTCAATTTTTACGATAGCAGTAGGTAGTTGTTTCCGCTGTGCTGTTCCTGCTATCCAAGTCTGAACGTCCCACCCTCCCCTTTCCGTGTTATGCCACTGAGGGTTCCCAAGCTGAGTGGGTCACAGTCGCGAGCACTCACCACATGTCGCCCGGCCAACCGCTCCCCCGCGGTCTCCCGCTCACTCAGTCACCCACTGAGCCTCCCCTGTCGGTCGGACGTTGTTACTCGATAAACGGGCAGCTTCCCACGGTGCAGTGGCCCAGTCAGCAATCGCGATTTTTGCGGGGCTTGACGTCTCAATGTATTGAGGATAGCCACTTTAGGTGTCTGTGTGTGTTGCATGTTTCTGGCGTTTCCTCCAAGTTCGTTTCGTTACTGGTTGCGTTTAGTAAAGGGTTCAAACCTGTGAATGGGCGCTCCTTACGGCCGATTTGGGGATGAGCGGATCGCCGAACAAGTGCACACATCTGGCGCGGTGCGGGGGTCGGCCGGGGATCGGGTTTCGCCAGACGGCGGCGGAGGGGAGGGCGGCGAGTCGTCTGGTGCAGTCAGTGGTGGTCAGAGACGGACGGAGACGAGATAGAGCCGGGTCGGAGATAGTAGTCAGCGCCGCCGCGGACGGGTCGCAGTGTGGGGGAGACGATCAGGAACCAAACCTCGGGAGCGCTCTGTGTTCACGGTGCTGCTGAACTGCTTCGAGTGAAGCGTGCGGTCTGCAATCGTCGATTCGGAACAGCAGTGATTTTACGGCCTGATGACAGTGATTCCAGTGAAGTAGAAACTGCCCGTGGGGTGGTCAGAGTGTGTTGGACTCACAACTATTGCTACAGGCTTATTGAACTGGCGTTGAAAGACGGTGGCTGCAGTATCGAGTGCGGTGCCGGCCGGCGCTCACAGGACAACGGTCTGGTGTCGGCTCTCAGTGATGGAGCGCTTTTGGCGGCTCCCGGCGGCCGCACTGCTGCTGGCTGGCCTGTTGGGCTGCACAGTGACCGGTCAGGTCACACTGCCAGCCGACAGTTACTCCTCGGCGGCATGGAGCGGCTCATCGTCCGGTCAGCTAACAAACCAAACTCAGCGGGCGCCTCAGCACCAAACATCGGCAGCGCTGGACCGTTTTACACGGCTCCAGAATTCATCCTCCGCCGGGACGCTGCACCACGGCGGTCGTGTGTTCCGTCTGCCGGGAGGTGGGAACTGGAGCTCACTGCTGCTGGACCCAGCCCACTCCCAGCTGCTTGCCGGCGGGCGGGACGCGCTGGTCCGTCTCTCAGCCGCCGAGCTGGCGCCGCTGGAGCTGACGCGCTGGCCGGCCGACCCGCTGGACCGCCGCCACTGCCGGCTCAAAGGACAGTCCGAGTCGCTCTGCGCCAATTTCATCACGGCACTGCACGTGAACGGTCAACGCGTGCTCGCCTGCGCCACCAACGCCTTCGCTCCAGTGTGCGCCTGGCGCCGGGTCGGAGCGCTCAGTCGGACCCAGCGCCCGTTCTCTGGGCTGGGTGCTGTGCCATACTCGCCTCTCCATCCATCTGCGTCACTGCTGACTGCGGCTGGAGACCTGATAGCGGCCACGCCGGCGGACTTTGGCGGCGCGGATGTGGCCGTCTGGGGCACGCTGACGGGGGCGGGTACAGCTACCGTGCGCAGCGCTCCGCACGATGCCGAGTGGATGGCGGCTCCCCGACCGGTCGCTGTACTGGCTAATGGCGAAGAAGTGTATGTTGTGATGAACGAGGCGGGCCGCGGCTGCAATGAAGGCCGCTCTGTAGTCTCCGTGGTCCGGGTGTGTGCCGCCGACGTGCACCAGCCCGCCCGCGGCCGACTCTGGAGAGCTTTTCGTTCCGTGACGCTCGAGTGTCGTCTCGAAGGAGAGACCGGAAGCCCGGCGCTGCGTACCGCGACCGCTGCTGAGCTGAGGGATGGAGCGCTGTATGTAGCGATGTCGGCAGCGCAGTTGGCTGGATCTGCCGTCTGTTGGTATAATCTAACCGACGTGGACGCTGCGCTGGATGGAAGATTTCTCACTCCGGCGGGCCTCGACGAACAAGAAGCCGCAGGAAGTCAGTGCTCAAACCCAACATCACCAGTCGAGCCGCTCCACCGTATGACGGGGTCGGTTCGGCCGTCCCGGCCGCCGCTGGCACTGACTACCAAGTACCGCTGGAAACTGGCGGCCGTGCGCACTGTTCGGGTCGGCACAGAGACTGCTACTCTGCTCTTCACCGTGTCGGAGGAGGGACACTTGCGCAAAACGCGGCTGGTGGCCGACGGCGGCTGCACACTGGACGAGTATGATATTTTCGAGGTGCTGGAGATTAACCGTAGCACCGTTCGCAGTCTGGCGGTTGATGACGCCGCTCGAGCAGTCTTCATCGGTACCGACTCCGAGGTGGTTCGTCTGCCGGCCGCCAGGTGTCACCGCTGGCTCTCGGAGGAGGCCTGCCTGGCCGGCGGTGACCCGCACTGCGGCTGGGACGGCCGGCTGTGCGTACCTCCTCCTGCCGGTGACGGCGGCGGCAGGGGAGACACCGGCGTGTGGGGCCAGTCGGTGAGCTCTGGCTGCGGTCGGGCGGCGCCGCCCCTGTCCGGCTGGAGCTCCTGGTCGCCGTGGGAGGTGTGTGGGCGACACGACGCCGTGCCGCTGGCCTGTCGCTGCCGGCGCCGGGTGTGCCGCGGCGGCTCGTGTCCCGGGGACGCCGCCCAGGTGGCCGGGTGCGCGGTGGCCGGCGGCTGGTCCCAGTGGACGCCCTGGTCCGCCTGCTCGTCCTCCTGCGGCCTGGCGGTGCGCTCCCGACGCCGGGTGTGTGCCGATCCGGCGCCGTCGGGCGGCGGGCCCGACTGCCGCGGCCCGGCCACCCAGCAGCAGCTCTGCTCGCTGCAGGAGTGTGTGCCGCGCCCGGCCGGGCCCGTGGACGGCGGTTGGTCGGCGTGGAGTGAGTGGAGCGAGTGTTCAGCCAGCTGCGGGGTGCCCAGCCTGCGCAGCCGTCAGAGGCGCTGCGACTCACCCTTACCGGCACGCGGCGGCGCACCCTGCCCTGGCTGTGACCGTGAGGTGGAGCCGTGTCCGGACGCACCTTGTCCTGAGCTGCAGTTGGACTCGACCTGGACAGAGTGGGTCAGTCTGCCGGTGTCGGAGGCCGTCTCTGAGCCCGCCGTCCGGGTTCTCAGCGGCCGCGGCGTGGAGATGGTCCTGCGCCGGTTCCGCTACAGCTGCTGGGCGGCCGTGGCCCGCAGAGGACTGATGACCCACGAGGTAAACACGAGGGGGCGGGTGTGCGCGTCGAACGGCACCTGCCGCCTGCTGGACGGCCGTCCCGGCGCCGGCTGGGACGTCTGGGGCCCGTGGTCGCCCTGCTCGCTGCCCTGTTCTGGCGGCGTGACGCACCGCTCACGGGGATGTTTCGGGAGCGGTCGTGATTGCGCCGGCGCCAGTCGAGAGGAGAAGGAGTGTAACGTTCACCGGTGCTCGGCCGGCTGGAGCTGCTGGACCGACTGGGGCGACTGTTCTCTCCGGTGCGGCCGCGGGGAGCGCCGCCGCCGCCGCCGCTGTGCCGACAGTCTGGGCCGGCCGGCCGTCGACTGCGGGGACGGCGCCGAGGTGCAGGTGGGCAGCTGTGGGGACGCCTCCTGCGCCGGCTGGCAGCAGTGGAGCTCCTGGACGCCTTGTGAGGACGGGCTGCAGTGGCGGCGCCGGGAGTGTCCCGCCTCCAACTGCACCGGCCCGGCGGCCCAGCGGCGGCTCTGCTGGCCGCCGCCGCCCCCGCCGCCGCCGGCCAGCTGGGCGAGCGCCGGCCTGCCGTTCGTGGCCGCCGCCGTGGGCTCGTTCTGCGCCGGCGCCGTGATGGCGATCGTCCTCACCTGCCGCCTAGTGGGCCGCTCCGGCTCCGGACTGAGCTCCGGGCGCAGCTCCGGAACCGGATCGGTGCCCTCCAGTCCGCACTACATCTCCGGGACGGCCCCCGAGTTCTTCCCGTCAGTTCCGGGGCCGGCCCCGGTCCCGGCGCCGGCCGCCTGTCCTGTACTCTCCTCCGTCGAGCAGGCTGACCGGCTGAGCGGTGCCTGGAGTCTGGCGATCGCTATAGGGCGCCGGCCGCGCAGAGCGCGCGCAGCGCGGGCCAGGGCGAGAAAGGTGGCCAGGGAGGCGCGCGGGGTGGCTACCCTGGCCAAGGGTCTGTCCACTATCACGGAGGAGAGACCGGAACTGGTCGTCGAGTGATGGGAACGAACCGGGCAGAGGATGGGACCGGACGGAGGCGGGAATTTAGAACTGAGCCGTGGTGAATAGACAGCATCGCGTAGCATTGAGATGAAACAGTCACCACTTTTTATGATGTGTTTAGAAAATGATCTGTTCATGACTGGTAGACGATAGTGATGTGATTCTGAGATCAGTGATTTGGTGTCCATTGTCCATGTAAATTGTAAATATCATGATCATTCTTTGTGATATGCAAACTATGCTAGTGCTACATAACTTTAAATTTAAGAGATGTTTTGCAGAATATGCGTGACTGTTCCACATTTCAATGCCTTTTGGCGAATTCCTACTTTCATTTACGAAAAAATAATAATAATAACGCGTCAACATTAAGCTCACCTACCATAACAACTGACATTGAATTGAGCTGACCGGTGAGCGAATGTGTGTCATTGTCGAACTGGAACGAACGCGAACCCTGTATGTATATTGTATGTTGACTCACTTGCACTTTATGACTTTGAATGAATTTGGAAAATGATAAACATCACGTCGTTTGGATTTATGCTAGACGGTAACACCCGGCCTGCACCGCACTTTTTCTGTTACCCTTACAAGTTCTCCTCAAAAGCCATCACTCCCCAGCGGCTCTCACTTATCATACTTGTTCATAGATGGCAGCACTAGTAAACGCCTGAATGTATGCTGTTCCGCACTACCGGTTATTGGCTTACGTCTGACCACGCGCTTCATAGGTTGTGCTTGAGTTTTTTACTCGACTTTCTCGTCAAATCTGAATACAATGGAGATGTCTATGCCGAGGAATTATCTGGGTCAAATTATGCTTTCGGGTAGATGCACCAAATAAGAATCATTACCTGCCGCTATCGTCATCTTTTACGCAGCTTTTGCACTCACCGTGAATTCCTCGAAATCCAGCCGAATCTGGGAGACGTCGGGTGAGATTTTATTCACGCTGAAGGAGCACGTCCGTGCCGTAGTGCCGGTGCTCGGGTACTCTGGGTTGACGAAGAACGTGCCATTCTTATCGGTCGTTCCTCCGCAGGAGAGCGTAACTGAGAAGTGAGAGAGACGGCCGGGGCATTGTCACGGACAGGTGTTTATCGCCTTTCAGTGTTCAGCACCAGTTAATGCTATCTTCCTCACAGAGAGAGAATCTTCGTTTTCGTTTCAGTGGTTGCCAGCAAATTGTGTTGAGTGCACTAGGGTGTGGTGCTAGGTCACGCACGCTACCCTGTCTGCCAGCCGTGAACAACTGGGTGACGCGTTTACCGGTGCAGGGTTGAAATTCACGCAAGCATGAAAAACACGTGCCTGATTCAACAATAGACTGGGAATACCATGCATCTTTTGGAGTAAAACATTTGGGACTCTTCGAAGTTTTCCAAAGTCATTGATGAAGTCAAACGAATTCTGCACGGCTTCCGGCTGGAACCGTTGGTGTTAGGTCGTGCTCATAGGCGTCGCCAGAGATTGTCGGTTGGGGGGGCAAAATCAACTTTTGTGTCAAAACTTGCCTTTCCCCAGTCTTTACTCACTCGTTTTACATATCATTCGACGCGCAATGGTGCGAGGAATCCGATGGTGACAAAGGTTTCCTTCTAGCTATGACATGTAATTTTTTACAGAAAAATTCGAAATTTTGAAATTTCATAACAAAACGACTGGTAGAATTATAGTGGCTGCGATTGCCGACGCACTGCAGAGGGCCCCTGTGCAGACGCTCGACGCTCATGATCATTACCCATTAAGAGGTGAAAAACGCTCCATTTAATCGGATCACCCTGCTAGAACCTCCATTCACGCATGCATGCAGAGGTTTTACGTGAAATGCATAGGACTTATCCCAGCCGCCGATCGTAGCTAAGTTGGGCATTCGGCGGAGAGTGAATGTCGGAAGTGTGAATCGGAATTCGGAAGTAATTCATCTTTGCTTCAGTGAGATGAAGTGTTTTGTTCACTCGAGTGTGAACAAAAGTTTCTCGTTTTTCGTGTGAAGGGAAGCGCTGCAAACGCGAACAAAAACTGTTAAACGGAACCAAAAGTTACGCACGGCATAGCGGCAAGGGATCCCGTAGAGATAGGTTTGTGACTTCCAGGCCATTTCAGGCCACTCAGGGTCAGTGCTGACTCTCAGAAGCCTGCTTAGGATCCCGGAGATCGACGTGGGTCACCTCAAATATTTACGTGTACGTGGTGCTTTAGGGCTTTCCGAGCCCAAGGTGGGGCCCTCAGAAGCAGTGTGGGCGGCGGGCGCTAAGAGACTAGGCCCTGGAGCCCTCGGATAGCAGTGTGAACCCTCGGGGTCTGTGTCGAATCCCTAAGGACCCTACGTAGGGACATAATAAACATGTGTTGCGGACCTCAGAGGGACACGTGGGCTGTGACCCCTCAGATGCCGGCTTGGGGTTGGCAAAGTCTGTCGCCTCAAAAATTTGGCTGAACTATCAGAGGCCAGTTAAGGTTCTCAGAAATGCTCGAAGGCTCAAAGATCCCTGTATGGGCCCTCAGAGAACATGAACACCAGTGGGACTTTCAGAGGCCGGTTTGGGCCCTCTGAAAGCTTCTTTAGGGCTCACTGGAGCTCCTTAGGAGCCTTTGTTTAAAGCAAGCTCATGAGCCCTGCGACACTTGTACGGTAGGTACTTGAGCCTGTCGCAGACATTTGACGAGTTGAGAAAGGCCCCGAAAATTTCGTTTCACGCTTTGAACGAAAATTGTGTCAGCACTCCAAAACTTATGAAAATCAGCTGTAAAATGTAATAAAGAACGAACTAGGAACATGTAATGAATCACAGCATTGACATTTCCGAGTCTGGACTCGGAGTCTTGAAGATTTTGGCGACTGCGAGTCAGACTCTGGTTTGAACTGCACGCTCAAACCGAGTCTGACCTCACAGGCATTCTCAGAAAGGTACCCCCATTTTTTCCCGACTCCAAAATCTCATCGGATCTGTATCGATCTCAGGGGGTGCCCGGTCCGAGGTTGGGGGGGCAAGCTGCCCCGCTTGCCCCCCCCCCGTGGCGACGCTAATGGTCGTGCTACAGGTCAGGTCAGGTGCTACCCCGCAACCGCGCCCCAGTGGATTGACGACTGGTGAGTCAGAACGCTCTGCACTGGCCCCAGTGTCGGTATAGCTTTACTCACATACGCAGCACACGCCGAAGCCGAGGGCGCAGGAGCCGCGCGCCAGGCCGCCGTTGCCGGCACACTCGTTTGGCAGGAAGCAGGTGCCCGAGGCCGTGAAACCGTCCTGCTGGTCGCTCGAGCACGGCTCGTTCGGGAACCGAATTATCGTGAAGAGAGGGAAAACTGGCGGTAACGGGCGGGATGGGGTGGGGCGAGTCAATGGCGATGAGATTGGTATTGGGCCGCATCTTATCTGACTACATCTCAGACAATCACTAGCAGTAGCAGTAGCCCAGAGTAGACCATTATGAAAGAGCGCGTTACGTGGCGAAGGACAGCAATGTATGAAAGCTATCACTCATTAAATTGGTCATTCTCTTTTCTCAATGGGACATGGTACATTACAGGCACTCACAAAATTTTGGCTCCTTTTCCTTTTGCGAGCTGAAATCGCCGATTTCATTGCTTATCACTCCACCATCACTAAAGTCATCTCGTCTAAATAATGCCGTTCCATTGTTGGACCACAGCCGCCCGCCTTTCTCACTGAGTTCCGCGGTGTCGCCGCCGCCGATTCGCCACAGTTTTACATGCTCAGCTCCGACCACCACACCGTCTCTGACACTAAAATTCCGACTACTCTGGCCGATTTCCACCGAGATCTCGCCATTGAGCAGACGGCTGTGCTGAGCTCCAGCGCTCTCCGCGGCGCTATGCGGTCTCTGAAGGTACTGTCGTGCAGGCTCGCTGTCCTGGGACGGGGCAGTGTCCTCCAGCCACACGGGTTCCGCGTCTGCCCGGCGATTGCTGGAGGAAGTGTCATCCAGCCACACGGGCTGTGTGTCAGCCCGACGACTGCTGGAGGCCTGCTGGTCTCGTATGTAGTGAGCAGGACTCCGCTCGTGGTAATGCCGCTGGTGGGATGGGTGCGGTCGCTGCCGCCGCCACCTGGCCCTGCTCTCGTGTGGCTTCCATCGCTTTGATCCCTGTGGAGCGCTGTAGCGGTGATTCTGTCCGACGCTCGTCTCCGACGGGCCGCTACTGAGGTGCGGTGGTGTGATGCTGCGCTGCGGCAGGTCATACCTGGAGATCCCACGGAATCCGTCCGTGTCCGACCACGGTGCGGTTGTGGTCCGCTGGTGGTACCGGGCGCGGTACATGTCCACATGACGCTGGTAGTGCCACTCAGGGAGGCCGCTGACGGTCGCCGCGGTCAGCAGGAGGGTCAGCTGGAAGGACAGCAGGAGCGGGACTCTGCACCGCCCTGCTATCGCCATCGCCGGCCGGCGGAGCTGGGGACCATGGCTCTCCCTGACCCGGCGCGAGCTGCTCTGCCGGTCGGAGTGGAGATGTAGTGGACCGACGGCTGCGACAGGTCGCTGCTCTGAGCGTGGACGCGTTCTGAAGGTTAGAAACCGCGGCTTGGCGAAGTAGCAATCGGGCGCACCACTCGCCGTTTTCGGTGTTGGATTCGTCAGGCTCGCGTCTCACCGATTTCCTATAGAATTCAACGATTCCGTTGTCCGTCGAGCACGTCAGCACACGTCTGCTAAGCTTAGCACAGCCCAGTCGCCCCGTAGCCTCTCGCTACGTCCGCTAGCTCACACTCACACCGGCGCACGTCTCCGCCTCCACTCCGCTCTGGCGTTACTGCTCCGAGCTCATCCACGACACTGCTGCCTGCCTGCCTCTGCCATCGCCCGTGCCGCAGGCGCCGGTCACGGGCCGTGCACGGGCCGCCTCGTCACGAGCGCTGACCACCCCTGCGACCCGACCGAGGAGTGAAAACCGACCGCCAGCCACCGTGGAACTTTCTTCGCGGCAGATAATCTTATCCCGGGCGCCGAGCGGCATAAGCAGATGTGCCAGCTCGGGTGTTTTCTATGTCATTGTTGGGACGGGTTATGGTTTCGAGGTAGTGAATGAAAGGAGATTGGCCACTTTGTTCAGCTGGATAAGTGAAGAGATTGCGTATTAATTATGATAATATATTTGTGAAAACTACGGAGTGAGAATCTATAAATATTGTCTTAAAATGCTTGTGCTGTCTGCATCTTATGTCTTTTTCACCACATTAGTCAACTTGTCCAATGTCCATTCTCAGAGGGCCCGAAAATGGATCGAGATGTCTTCGTTCAAATCAGCATCTCCAGACTCCAGCTCCATGCCGATCCTCGATATAATATATATTAACACATGGTTTCCCGTGTGTGAATGGTTTTAACGCACGACGTGGATGGATTGGAGCACGAGTGTGTTAATGCACGAGTGAAACGAGTGCATTAACGCACAAGTGCTCCATTCCATCCACGAGTGCGTTGAAACCATTTATGCACGGAAACCATGTGTTAAACTAATTAATACATGCTTAACGGTGCGAATTTAAATTAAAATTAAACCTAGTCCATGCCACTAAAAAGGGCCCTTTATGGGAAATCTTAGAATAAAGTCAATGACCCTTCCGGTAAAAACTTCAGTCGAGAAAGTCATCACTGCACGCGCGTGCACCAATTTAAATTGGTGCACGGCTACCTTCGAATTAACGCACGGTTAATCTCCAGTGAACGCACCGTAAAGTATGTATTAATTCGATGTAACGATATAGGGAAACTCCTCCCTTTCGTCATAATGAGCTGCGTGGGCCATTGAGGGTTAACGCATCACGTGAGCTATTCATTTCCGTCTTGTGTGTGCCCCTCTATACATAATATAGAGCCTTTATTGCGTCATACTCAACCAAACGCGTCTAATTATCCTTTTCGAATTTCTCCAATATCCTTGTTTATTCAGTCATGTCGCTCGCGTGACGATGGGCATGAATCGTGAGTTTCCCTATCCTTCCTGCGGCCGGTTGTCAACGGGAAGTTCATCCGCTGTTGTTAGGCGAATATCCTAGAACCGCAGAGCGTGTAATGCCATGACGTCTGATTGTAAATTAGCTTAGGACGTCACTATTACGACTCCGCTCCTCTATTCACGAGCGCACTTCCGAGTCGGTTATTGTGCCGATGCCATCTCTGGTAGAGAATGGTTGTCGGGTCCGCTTTCCACTGTTAGCTGTCTACTGTCCGCTGTCGAATGTGTTCTGTCCACTGTGGGCTGTTCGGGCCAACCAGACCGTAACACCGGCCCCAGAGTTGTCCAGTTGAGTGAAGACTTTATCCATGGGGAGCTCATTACGGGTTGTGCGGGATGCGAAGCGTGCGCTGTAGTAGACTCAGGATGTAAGTCTGTCAGCAAGTTTCTGTTTAATCTCATCATCGTTGCATCATATAATAGAAAAGACCAGAACAAAGAACCCCATGCTGCACTATTTTTAGCATCACCCCCCCCCCCCGTCCTATTCTCATGCAGCTTTCGTTGGACTGGTCAAAAGTCTCTCCTCTCGGACACAGAGACACTTGTCGCCCATCCCAGCTTCCGACTCCGCCCCATAGCGGTGCCCCCACCCGCCCCGGCCTCGGGGCGCTGTTTAGGCGCGGGTTAGACACGCGTGGCTGCCGACCCGTGCAGATTATGGAGCCTTCGTGACCGATGAAGATGGGGTCGAGTCGCGGCCGCCTCGGAAGGGGTTATCGTGCCCGGGAGAAACCATGACGCCGCGCACTCGGCGGGTTCCGGTCACAGCGAATGCTCCTGGATGGGCCAGATCCCGGGCTCGGTGACACCGGCAGGCTCGGGGGTCGGTGTTTCCTGGCCCCAGGCGTGCGGACGGTTCTGGAGAATCTTTCAGATTCGTCGATTGACAGTGTCAGCATTCTATGAGATTAGATTGTACACCAGTCCGAAAGACGGCCTACTTTTGACTGTGTATGCTGTTTACGCTTTACCGAATATTTTACAGCTCTTCCAAACTCTTTCCGGCGTTTTCTGTCCGCCTCACACGACCCTACTCGCTCTCCGACTCTCTCTAAGCCCCGTCCTCCCTGTGTCGACAGGCGGCCGGTGGCAGTCTACCATGGGCTCCGAGCAGAGCACGGCAGGAGGGTCGGCGGGCGGCGGCCGGGCAGACCGGGTGCGAGCCGCCGAGACGCCCCTCTCGCCACAGAACAGCGTCTGTTCGGATGGCGAGGTGCCCTACGTCTCCTACACGCATAATCTGCCCATCGGAGAAGGTGTGTGTGGAGAATGGGTGGCTTATAATGGTAGATGTGTGAATTATTTGTGTTTGCTAACAAGCAACAAACAATGGCACATGAACCCTATGTGTGCGAATACTGAATAGCAGACATTGTTGATGTTAGCTTGATTATATCTGCTGCGATCGTGTCTTGAATGTATTTTGTACCTACTACATAAATTTTATGCCATCATATTAGACAGTCAATTGAACATTGTCACTCCTAACACTTGTCTTGTCATTTATCTTCTTCATAGTTATCATAATCACCTTACCTCTTCTTGCTCACCTCAGTGTGCTTTAAAGTGCCTCCGTGATAGTTCTTCACATTTACTCTCACCCTCAATGACCTGCTGAATAATGACCACGCTGCCCCGTCCCCGCCGCCAGCCGAGTCGCCTCGTCATGCCGGACGCCGACTGCGCCCGGGCAGATCACGAGCCCGTCAGCCGGCTCTTCCTAAGGAGATTGTGGTGGTGAAACAGGCGGCGTCACCGGCGCACGGTGCCCAGGAGGAGGACCCCGACCTGCGCCGGCTACGGGTGAGGAGACTGTCTCAGGCGGCTGGCGAGGGCGAGGGGTTGGGGTGCTATCAGTTCGGGTATTGAATATTGATGCAATGTGTTATTATGCCGATGGTTTTGGCGTTCTTTGAATAGTTTTAGGATATATGCCAGCTCATTCCTTTGCTGGGTCCACTCTCGCTATTCATTCTGTGTACTTGCACCGAGCATTGCCAAAACATTTTACAAGCGAAAACGATGCTGCACCGACTCCGACATTTCCAAATCACGTCGGAAAATGTAAACACTAAACATATCTGACATTCATCATCATGGATCCGTCGCTGTCTGCTATGATCAGATGTGTCAGTCTATGCCGGTGCCTGCTCTCACCTCACTCTCATAACCTTTTTTCAACAGCTGATCCCCACGTTCCTGCCGGTGATGCGGGGTGCCCTCACCTACCCGGGCTCCCGGGACCCGGACGTGCTGGACCGACTGGACTCGGTCGCCGTGCGACACCTGGCGGCGCGACTGCAGCGACACCTAGCCGCCAACGCGGACCGCACCGCAGCTAAACAGGCCGAAATCACCGCCGCCATCGGCAAGGTAAGCGGCGCAGTGCGCACTGTGGGTGGTAGCGGGCGGAGATGGTCATGGCCCGGTAGAAAGCAGAGTGATTTTTTATTATAAAACCTTTCCACTGATTCCTGGCTGAAGAGCTCATCACATAAGCTTATTACACACGTTGGTCATGTTCTGATTTTGAATGATTTTGAATATTTGGAGCCGATAGTACTGTAAGCGTATATTTTATTTCGGCCATAATTTGTGCCAGTCCAGCACTGATCGTTCCTGAAATTATACGTCAAACCTTGTTTTGTTCCGGTGTCTGCCTTCGCCTTGCCACAACAGCTCGTCTATTTTCGTTCTGTGGCAGCGTGGGCGTGCACTAACTTTGTTTGTGGCTACCGCACACGTCATAACTCATATCGATCCTGTCCGACTTGATAACTGTTTTCTACGTCGTGATTCGAGTGTCCTGTCGACAAAGCTTGCAATTCCTTAGGGCGCTGCGCGGCAGTGTGGAAAACATGGCGTGGTGGTTAATATTCTTAAGAATGTTTATCCTTATACACTGAAAGCTCGGCTAGTGAATGTTGTATGTATAGCTCCCTATCCGCGATTGCATTTGCCTCCTGCCTATATTGCCTCCGAAAACTAGCTAATTATTTACTTAATGCTACGATGGTTTATTATGTGGCCTGAAGAAAAAAGGTAAACGAAATATAATTTTAAGACTTATTTTAGCGATTTTAAGTTTTTATCAGTTTTATGTTGTATTATTTGAAGTCTATAGTATTTGTGTTACAGTAGTTGAATCAGCAACCGGTATTTCTATGTTTGAAGTCTTTCTGAAAGTATTGAGTCGCTTCGCTGGTGTATGTGTCCCGGCAGCTGAACCAACAGTCGGTATTGTCTGTGCTCTGTGTGTCAAAAGTCTCTCCACAGTCGCGGCTATTCTGTCAGCTGTGTGTCTGAATCTCCAAAAGTTCGTGTTGTGTGTCTGTCTGTACAGTCGCCGGTGTGTGTCCCTCACAGCTGGACCAGCAGTCGCTGTGTTGTGTGTCCGAGTCTCTGGAGTTTGCGGTGTGTGTCCCGCAGCTGGATCAGCAGTCGGCGGCGCTGCTGGCCACGGTCACTGACCGACAGAAGGCGTTCGCGCGGCACGCCGAGCGACTCCAGAAGGTGGGCGAGGTGGCCCACTCTGTGCAGCGCTGCCACCGGCTCCTGGAGGACACCACCCGGCAGCTGGCCGAGCTGAACCGACAGCTGCCAGAGTCGCACCGGCTGCCGCCCTTCACATGGACCACCGGCTGAGCGGAACGGGGGTCCTGGGCGGACTGAGACCGCCCCGGCCCGCCCGCCGACACAGGGCGACCACGGCTGATCTGCTGGTGGCTGCTGGTGACCACTGCTGGTGACAACTGCTGGTATGTTCTGGGGATGCTGGAGACAGCTTGCTAATGATCTTGGTGCTACTGGTGGCTACCGATAGCCGACTGAACGTTTTAAACTGCCCGTCAGTGCCCACGATGGACACCCCACCTTTACGCCAAACGAGAGACGGTGCGCGTATCTCGGAGACGCAGTGAGTACAGACCCTGGATACGCGGCTACCCCCGGGGAAGGTGTGTACTACTGTGCCATATCAGTGCAGGTATGACCCCGAAGTGGGATAAAACACTGGGAACATGTAAGGGCACCATATCCGTGGTGATACCGAGTGCTGGACGAATGAACTGACGGCTAAAATCGGTTGATTGAGGCTCCAATTCCATTGTGAACTATTATTCATCCAGTGCAATTATGTATTTAGCGTGATTAAGTCTATTGTGTATTATTGTTCGCTTCATGGTGCATGTGTTTCCTTGAACGTCAAACATCCTGGGCATGTTATTTACGCTGAAGATGAACTCTGGCCTCAAACAACTCACAAAATGACCTATCCTGAGATATTAATTTGATTTCTGAAGCTACCGCCTGCATTAGGAATGGACAGCCATTGCATTGGGAACAGTCAGTCAAATTAGAATTGAAATGACACAACGGTCGCAACTGAGGTCGCATTATTAGAATTATCCAGTCTTTCATGAATGTTGAGTTAATGACGGCGTCACAATTGTAGGGCACGTGGTGCACGATGTCTCGTTAAGTCATTTTAAGCGTCTGCCTCTGCTTATGTATTTATTGCCTCTCTGTAGAGGGTCGCTATTCTACTTATAAACTGGGTGCTATCTGATTGCATGCAGGTTTCACGAGCAATACAATATCTTGCTGAACTATTTATTGCTGACTTTATCTGAGTAGCCATGGACTGTATCGATGTATCCCATGTATCACGTCACATTGATGAATTACTTCCTAGATATCCGAGCTATTATTTCATAGATATCTGAATTGTTCACTGCAGGTAAATTTCGCACTGTAAATTTCGCAATGTACTTATGGAACGCCAATGCTCAATAATTAGCACAAACTAAAAGCACTAGCTGTTATTTTCCACTTATTTTCCTTTCAATGGATGCCTGCGCGTGCCACCGGTAATTTTGGCAGTTTCTCGCGTGCGTCATATCACCCCTGGCATAACGAACACGGTTGCCGAATGGCTGGCGTCAGTGTGCAGTAATTTTGGGCTGCCTTTTAGGTGGCAATTACAATGGCAAGACAAATGACCCAAGTTTGGCTATTGATCTGCCTTCTTAGCACTGAAGGAGCTGCGTGCAATCAAACAGTTGATAAATTATGCCCCCGGGTCACAGCCAGTTTCAAAAAGACCCAATGCTCGTCACTCACCAGTCGCCATAAAGTCATTTCGACTGAGCTAGCTCGTAGTGCAAGACTGCACTTCTATTGATCCAAGTGACCAACTGCGCCAACGGGCAATCTGATGTAGTGTGTACGCAGTTGTTGCAAGAGCTCCGTAGAGTCGACTGAGCCCACCAAAGGGTCCCGACGGCCCAACAGCAGTACATTGGCTAGACTTATACAACATTGTTGGCTAACATATTATTGTCGGCCACATAACGCTAATACCACTGTGCTAAATACCGGACTTTCGTCCGACCGTGTGGTGAATATTTTACCGGCCCTCCGACATCAGGGACAAACACCTTGCCTTGGCGTTCTGTGAACACCTGGTTACTGGGGTCGTTACCAGATTGCGAGCATCGATAGTGGTTATAGATGCGCCAGGTGTTGGAAATCCGGGGCATGGTAGGCGGGAAACGTCATACATGACCATTGTCGTGGAATTCGTGGAATTATATCGACCTTAGAAGAGCTTGACCTTAGCACTCAAATGTCCTTGACACTCGTTGAAGACAACTCTGGGTAGTAAGTAGTAACATCAAAACTCATTTTGACTGCTTTTCTTTGTCTTGAGTGGCCTGTTCAACCACGCTGGCCCATTTAGGAAAGTCAGCAATCGACAATGAAGTTAGGTCTTCAGCTTGCCCAGTAAACATGCCGACGTCGGCCCGACGTCGGGCCGAGGCTCGGCCCGACGTCGGCCCAACGTCGGTTCAACCTCGGCCCGACATCGGCTGGACGTCGGATATGCCCGCATGTTCCGACGTCCAGCCGAAGTCCAGCCGACGTCGAGCCGACGTCGGGCCGAGGTCGTTTGCCGAGGTTGACGAGATCGTTTGTTGTTGGACCGACGGGGCCGACGTCGGCATGTTTATTGGGACAACGCGCCAAAAATATCAACCGGCGGCGGGATTCGAGCCCCCCCAGTCGCCGACGTCGGCATGTTTACTGGGACAACACTCCAAAAGCATCATCCGGCGATGGGATTCGAACCCAGTGTCATTTGAACAGGACAGTGCGCTAACTACTACACCACGCAGCCAGATAGCAATTTTAGTTTGTTTTGTTGGGTTATGCCCTTTCGGTCTGATAAGACCATTTCAGAGCCGGAAGGATGATAGGATGGAGACATTGGTCTTCTTGGCGAGCACCCTTGGTCCAGTTCATATAGAGTCCCTGGTCCCATTGCTGTTACGTGACACTTATTGGAAAGGGCGACCCCACAATGGATTCATATAGCCACTCTTACACACCTGCACCAACGTTTCCCAAAGTGTCCCTTTGATAAGTGGCACTTTGGCAAAGTGACACTTGCCGACTGGCCTTTCTATACGAACTGGGCCCGGCCCTGGTGAGTTGCCGGGGCTGAGCCTGACCAAAGCATAGGCCGAGCAGCCCCCAAGCACTCACCGCACCCGGCTACGGGCGAGCTGGGCTTACGGGCAATCCCAAATGGGATAAAGTTTCCCGTCCAGTCCGGATCAGGGGGTTGCGGCGTGGAGGAAGATTTGAGTTTCCTGAGGATATTTTGAATATAGAAGCTCTTTAAGAGACATGAAACATGTATTTTACAGTATTTTAACGGTCGAAACCTCGGCCGATGTCGGTCCGACGTCGCCCCGACGTCGGCCCGACGTCGGCTGGACCTCAGCAATTGATCTCGGTCCGACGTCGGCCCGACGTCGGCTGGACCTCGGCTGGACGTCGGTACATGCGGGCATATCCGACATCCAACCGACGTCGTGCCGAGGTTGGACCGACGTCGGGCCGACGTCGGCATGCCGATGCCGAGTTGCCGACGTCACCCCGACGTCGGCCGACGTCGGGCCGACATCGGCATGTTTACTGGGTGCTCATTCACACCACACTATGCATATTTCACAAACTATCACAAGTACAAACTACGAGCATCACGAGCTCACGAGCTGCCACCGGCGTCGAGTGTTTGATGATGGCCCTGATTAAAGGTCGGTAGGACTACGGTTTGATGATGGCCCTCAGACAGTGCCAGTAGGTGCCGGACGTATCGTCTTCCACGGCAGCCGCCAGGCTCTTGCCGTAGCGCTGGTGGTAGGCGTCCTTGATATTCTGCAGATCATTCTCCGCCCGGGAGACCAGGATCCGGATGAGTGCCGTGTCGTCAGTGCCGAGCCCGCGCATGGCGCGATACAGGCGCTCGGCAAAGTAGCCCGGCTGGTCAGCCACACACTGGGCCACGGCCAGCAGGCCGGTGCGGATATCGCCGCCAAAGCTGGCCCGGATCACAGTCTGTATGTCCGCATGGCTAGGGTTGACCTCCGGGAGGAGCTCGAAGGCGCGCCGCAGCAGCGGGTAGCCGGCCGTGCTGAAGACGCTGATGAACATCTCGACATCTCGGCCCTGTCCGGCCGCCGCCAGCCGACCGGCCAGCTCTCTGGCGGCGTTGTCTCCCGGCGACGCTGACTGGTCTCGGTTCAGCGCGGTCAGAGCCAGTGCCAGCTGCCGCAGCTCTCCGTTGAGCTGCGCGCGCAGCTCTGCCTGCAGAGGCCGGCTGTGAAGCCGGTCGTAGGTGCGCACCATGTCTCGCAGCTCGTCCTGTGACTGGCCACAGAACAGCTCGATCAGAGTAGCCTTGTCGGTGGGTCTCGCGACGAGAGCACGACGCGCGGCGGCCGCCAGGAACTGGTTTTGCCACTGCAGCAGCGCTAGCAGCGTCGCCTGAGCGTTGTATGAGAAGGCGGCTCGCAGCGCATGCTGTAGTTTTGGCTCATGCTGCACGTTATACACGTCCTCCACATATTTCCGCTCGTGTAGCGTGTACTTGGTGAGCACGCTGATAACCGCTGCCGTGTCGACGGGTCTCTGCAGGGCTCGGTACAGGGTGCGCACCTGGGCCAGCGCGGCTTCCTCGTCAAAGCCCGGGTGTGGTCGGATGGTGCCGCGTGGCGCTCTGATCCGACGACCGGAGCTGTCACTGCCCCGCGGCATTGCGAGGGCTGGGGAAGGTCACGGGCTCCTCCAGCTGCCGAAGGTGGATACTTCTTTGGTGAAGTTCAGACGTTCCCAGGATAAGCTTAAGCTCCGAGCGCCCTTGTTGGTGGAGCTGTTGCTGGACGTCTGAGCGAAGCGAAGCACTGCAAACCAGAAGTCACCACTTAGACGCTATTGTCGGCCGTTTTCTCACCTCACTTCTTGCACACTTCACAGCCATATATCTAGTCACTTCACAGTCTTATATCTAGTCACATCGACCTATCTTGTGACATCCTCCTATTCTCTTCAGTTCGCTCTCGTCCCGTTCACAGCTCTGCAGCTCTACCCACAGCTCTGCACTGACTCCCCACCAATACCGTACGACCCGGGTGTCGAGGGGGCTCGCCCGTCGGACTGCGGCACGGCCGGCCGACTCCCGCCGCCGACGCCGACGTCGGGGCCACTCGTAGAAGCGGCACTGACGACTGGCGGCATGGCGACCGGTGGACACAGACAGTGGTCGGGCCCCTCCTCAATACTTACGGCGACCGGACCGGCCGCGGCGGGAAGATGGGATCGGTGGACTTTCAAGGGTCATTAGAGTAGAGCTCAAGGAAAAAAAAAATCATACACAAAAATAGCTGTAGGTATGTCATAATTATGTCTGACTTCTTACAGGTTGAATGTTTTAAACGGTCTGTATATTTTATTACTCGTCTAAGCGGTTCTGATGAACGTGCAAAGCTTTTAATTGGAATGCAAGATATTGTGCGCTGTAATCTGTAGCCATACAATTTGCGCTCGTTTGATAAAGCACAAAAATTGACTTAATTGGTCAAAAATTTTCACACGTGTCTTCACAGGCCATGATAACGTATCGTTAGAATCAGAACGATGAGGCAATCACACCGAAAAATCTGGTGCGATCTGCCGTGGAATGTTCAGGCGTGAAGCGCGTGCACAGCGTGAACTGTTCCAAAACACCACCTCATTGGACGGTTACCAGCCAAATTACCGAGCAGTCTCTGCAGTTGTCGGGGTGTGTCTGCGCCACTGTTTTGACACTCCAGATATCGACTGGGAGCGCCTTGCTCGTCCCTGGTCGATGGTCAAAGCAAGGCGCCGCTGGCAATTGAAAGTCAATAGGCGGTGCCGCTGCATGATCGCGCTGAGGGTAGAGCTTGGTATTTTGTGTTGTGCATGTAGCTACCGTTACTAATGGAAGTCGCGAAACAAACGTCGAGCCAGATTACGGGTGCCAATTTAATTTCAAAAGTTTAAATTTGCACCTCCGTCTGGCAACAATAATTCTATGGAAACGTGTGACATTTGTGGAACGGACCGGTTTTGGAATTCCAGTGAATTACTTTAAACTTGAATGGATATTAACATCCACTTATGACTTTGTTATATTGGAAGCATCTGGAGTTGGAGCTGAACTTCAAAGCCGTAAACTCGTCACTGGACGGTGAAGGGATCAGACTATCGCCATTTCCAGTGGGCACTCTATTCCACCACAGACCTGCCGTCGGCAGCTGGTCGAGCGGGGCGGGGTGGGACGCGCTCCCGTCTGGCCCGGCCGGCTGACCTTGACCCGCGGCGGGTCGAGGTCAGCTGGGTCACGCTCAGCTGGCTTCAGTCGCCAGCCGACGGCGGTGGGCGGCGGGCGTGTTTTGGGAGCGGGACGCGCGTGCCGGGTCTCCAGGTATCTACCGAGTATAGCCCATTGGTGACTCTGGACAGTGGACCGTGTGCGACTGTCTCGGATAGCTCGGGATATAAGAGTTCAAGCTTATCTGGCCTGCGCTTGTTGGGAGTCTGAAGGGCGCAAAAAGAGACTGAGTTCGGCAGCGTCGACTCGTCGCCTCGTGTCAGGTGAGGACTGGCTCTGCAACAACGCATTTGCAGTCGCGTGTAGGGATCATTGGCGCGTTGAGTACCGACAACGGGAAAGTACCGTGTGTGCCTACAGCGTGGCACGCGAGGCATTGAACAGATTGCTACAGTTTGGACACTACTGCGACGTAATATGTACCGATTACTTTGTGGAGTCAGGTCGTAAAAGCTAAAATGGGTGCACCTCAGGTGACATTTAATTTGCAATGTTGTTTAGACAACATACAAATTATTTAGCTTCAACTCAAACAAAAAACTGCTTCACTTCAGGCAGCCCGTTCTGTGTGAGTAGACAATAGTCGATAAGTCAAGATCTTGCGAACTGTTAAATTGCATGAGTAAGAAAGCGTTTTTTCCCGCCACAGCCGACAGGGATTATGTGACAATCAATCCTACTACCCCAGTCTGTCTTACCATTCTGCGTTTCCCCAGCCACCATGCTGGCCGCTCGGTTCCTGCTACCGCTGCTGATCACCGCCGCGGTGGCCGCTGGGACCAGCACCGTACCACCAGCGGCACAGGCCGGTCTGCTGGCCCGCACCCTCGGCCTGCTGGGCTGGGGCGCGCCGACCGCCCAGCCCGGTCCGCAGCCTGCTGAGAATACCACCGGTAAGTGGGGCGGGTAGGACATGCCTAAGAGCTGGACTTTTTGCACGCGTTCCCCGCAAGGGGGCGCCACTGAGGAAGCACCCTCTGACGTCACGATAAAACTGCGCGCACTGTGCGCACGGTTCTGTAAGCAAGTAACATAGTGGTGGTTTCATGGTGGAAATTGGAATAAGTATTTTGACGTTGTA